GTCACTACCTAAACCTAAAGTTCTCCTTTTTTGAAAGCACCAAATCCTTGTTAATTGCAACCTAGAATACGAGCCTGTTAAAGTTAGAAGAGTTCATTTACTTTAACAAAATCCATTTATTTTATAGACAAGAACATTTCAGCTCAGGAAGTTTAAATGCCTGCCAAAGTTATATGGCTAATGAATGACAGGTCTGGGAGCAGCTTTCTGAGCACTATATTTCAAATGAAAGAGGTTTGAATTAATAATAATAACCTAACTCTAGAAGGGTCATTGCAATCAATAATACTGAAAGTTAATTGCAAAGTTTCACTTAAGCTCTACACAAAATAGTATATTTTAACACATAAAGAATGCCATTTGTTTATTCAGACCTGTTCTTAATAACTATGCTTTGGAAGTATGTTTTACAAAAGCTATAAATCTGGAATAGCCCAAAGGATATCCAATGTTTTTTTTCTAATTGATTTACTTCTCCTTTTTACCAGACTGCCAAGGTAGAGCATATACAGTTTATTTAAGGGTCTGTTTATAGACTCTTAAAACTTAAAAAGGACCCCAGAAACTCTCTTTCTTTTAGTTACCCTTAATTGAAACCATCCAAAATGGCTGGTTGTCCATCAATTTCTTAACTACATATAAGGAGAGAAATTCCACCAGCCCCCAAACAGCAGGTTAAAATAGTTAATCACTCTGACTGTCAAAAATTAAATCTATGGCAAGCTTCACTTCTATTTCACTTGAAGCTCTTTTCCTCTTGCTGAGTTTTATATAAAATGAGGTTATAACAAGCCATCCTCTAGAAAGCTCCATCAATCTGGTCAGATAATAGCTAGCTCTTCCCTGACATGCTTTCACATCCATTACGCCGCCATTTTTCTCACAGGATTATGAGAGTACAAGGCTGGTTGATAGCCTCTATTACTCTGATGCATAGGGAAGAATCAGTAATTAGTTCTTCATTGGAACTTTCAATTCATAAAATGCCTTGGGAAGCTGCATTAATTATAGATGAACTGTTCCACTGACGCTGGGAAGATGTTCATGGCACAGATAATCTAGAAAGTGCTTCTACTGTGCTCTAGTAGAGCTTGGGTTTGTAGGAAAATATGAGCTCATTCACAACATTGGATCAATCAATACAAAATAAGCATCACAGAAACTTCTATTCAGACCATCTCTGTTTCTAACAGGGCTAAACGCTCTCCTTGTTAAATATTCTGAATTGGGCAAAAACGAGGCAATTGCTGAGGTTATTTTCTTTGAACTGTTTTGAATTTCAAACTAAGATCAGAAACTACCTTCCACTATTAAAAAAAAAAAAAAAAAAAATCCATGTTTACTTCCCAAATGGATTGAAGTAGCTTAACATAAAATGTATAGCCCCAATAAAACTCTGAAAATAATGGTTAAAAAACAAACAAACAAGAGTTACTTGATACAAGATAGAGGTGGGAAGACTGTTTTCCTCTGAAAAGTATTTCTAAGACCGTAAATGCTTAGAGTTGACTTCTCCACACACAATAAATCTTAAGGGATGAAAAGGAAACTCAATAAAATTTGTTGACAACAGCTAATGCCTGTGAGAATAATTGGCTCAGACACAAAGTAGACCATCAGTGTAGCTTGGGGATGACCAAATGCAGTCTCTAAGTCTTTGTCAGTATACATTGTATTCAGATAAATAAAAGGAAAACAGTTTTGTCAAATAACTGGGTAGATTTGAGATGAGAATTGTCCCAAGTAGTGGACAAAAACGAACTCTTGATGGTTTTTATGACTAAGATCCCAAACATGTAACACATTTAATTTAATTGGATTCAACTAGATTCAATTGGACTCATTTAGATTCAGGTCAATTCAACTCACCAATCAAATGTGGACAGCTACTATATTAGTCAGGTATTAGGGTAGATACTGGGATTTAAAAGTGAATATACATGTCCTTGGGTATCAAGGAACAAGTTGAGAGGACATCATTCTTGGGAGAATAGAACCTAGTAAAGGCAAGTGATTCAAAAAATTCTCCAGAAAACTCAGGAAGAGCATAAAGAACTATAATCTATTCTCCCATGGTTATTTTTCTCTTATGACATTTGATAATACTTACACACTTTTTTTTTTTTAACTTCTCAACTGGACTGTGAGTTACTTGAAGGAAAGTTCAAGTTCAAGAAGGAAAGTTCAATCTTTCCAGGCATCTCATTCATGTCTAGTATAGTGCCTTACACACAACAGATGTTCTATAACCAAAAACCCAGTGCTGGAAGAATTGGTTCTGACTCATAGCAACTCTACAGGACAGAGTAGAGTCATCTCATAGGAAAATTATCTCTGTAACTGTACTGTTTCTGTCCATCTCCAAAGTACTCTACCCATAGGGTTTCCAATGGCTATAAATCTTTATGGAAGCAGACAGCCTCATCTTTTTCCCTCAGAGTGGCTGGTGGGTTTGAACCACCAACTTTTTGAGTAGCAGTCAAGTGCTTTAACTATTGTGCCACCAGGGCTCCCAAGATGTTTTATAGCTGTTTTGAATTAAAGAATTCAAAAGGGATAACTTCTCTTGGACAAAGAGAACTGTACAGTTGACTAGAAACTAAAAAAAACAAAAAAAAACTTTTGTTCATGAGGATCTATGTCAGGCAAGAGATTAACATAAATCATGGAATTCTATGAGGCAGAACATATGAATCACATATACCCCATGACAATGCTGACAGTAATGATACATAATCCTCTAGGATTTAAAAACTCACTTTCCATTCAAAGTCATAAACTAAACATCAGGAGTTGTCTTGTATAACCTTACCTTCCATGTTATTAAAGTACAATTAAAAAAAACATTTGCAAAAAATTGATCATTGTAGTAATGGAATGAAGCACCTTTTCCAGGCCTTGAAATTGGTTTCTATTCTAGCTGTCTGATATTTTCAAGTGTCTGTGTAAACATATATAAATAAGCATCATGCAGTTACTTGGGACCAAATCATTCTTTCCATTCTCACGTCTCATCTAAAGCAAACGTCACAGACATAGAAGGATCCAGTTTCTGTGCACTGTGCATAGAAATCTGGAGTTTGTCATGTTGAACTTCATAACAGAGGATGCTCGTAGGCTTGGCAGTTACCTCATGAACTGCATCAAAAGAAATTGCACAAATGGATTATCAGGGGAAAAAAAATTCTCTTGGGCATAGTAAGTGAGAATTTTTTTAATGCAGATCACTAGCAGCAAATCATAGAATAATTGCAACCCTTGGTTGGTTGATGCTGATGTTGCATGTTTACCTTCTGCAGGTTCTTTTAGAGGTAAAATAAGTCTGCTGTTCTAAAATCACTCACCTGATGAACTTATTCATCTGCATTGTAACAGAGAACTGGATAAAAGTGGTTTATTGCCAGAAAATAAGTGAATTCACTCAATTAAAGCATTGGCTGGAAGCAAAGGGTATGTGCCCATTCAAGTGGTAGAAAGAACTTTCTAGTCTGTGCCACTAGTCGTTTAAAGAGCTCTGGTGGCACAGTGCCTAATACATTTCACTGATAACTAGGTTGGTGGTTCAAACCCAACAGCCGCTTTGTGGAAGAATGATGGGGCAATCGACTTCTGTAAAGAGTTGCTGCTTCAGAAACCCAACGGGGGTCACTGTGAGTGAGAATTGACTCAATGGCAGTGGGTTTGGTTTGTTATTTATTTATATAGTTTGGTTTAGTCACTTAAAGGCTATTTGTCATCAAATCCACAGTGAGAACAAATCTTTAGTTTCCCACCAGACTTTTCCTTTTCATCTCCCCTACCCACCCCAAGACTGTTATACACACACCCTCCAGACACACACACACACACACACACACATACAACACCTGCCTAAAGAAAGGCTGACATCTGGGAAGAAGCTGAGAGTGACTTGAAATGTATGAGTCATCACAGGAGCTATTCAAAGCCTGGTGGCTCACTGAGGCAACCTGTCTCCACTTGAGTGATATGAACCTTTAAGAATGATTCACAGTCACTGAGGCCCATCAGTTCTCTGGATTCTGAAATTCCAGAGAGGTATACAGAAGGAGCATCAGGCTTTAAATCTTTCACTGCCCTGGAATGTACGATGAGATGGACGCACTTGAGGCAGATCTTTAGGGGGTCAGTTCCTTTAGGCAGCATTGACTTCTGTTTGTGTTTATTAGTTGCAACCGTTGACTTGGCTGCCTACTTTTTCACTGACTGTGTACTTTTTAATCACCGAGATCCACTTATAGGAAAAGTGGCCCTACACTTGTCAAAGATCTCTTACCCGCTCTAAATTTCCCTGGGGACTCCCAGAAAAGAGCTATGGCAAAGGAGAGCAATACAAAACAAATTAAAAAAAAAAAAAAAAAGAAAGAAAGAAAGAAAAACCACCCAAGGTTGATTCCATGGAGGACAAATTAGTACAGTTTGCCTTTAGAGAGTGCCTGCGTATTTATAAACATGCCTGTGAGTGAAGTTCACCTTCTGGCAGTTCTTGGTGGTTTCATATCACATGAGGACATCTGAGATGTGTCCCCTAATTCTTTCTCCAAGTACACATGGCTGAAGAATCTTATTATTGAACCCTAAATTACACAGCACTTAAAACAGGTCTACACACTTCCACATGTTTGTATGTGCACCCAGAGGCCTCAAACTCCCAGAACTCAATACCCCAGGGTTCATTTGTCCTGTTCTTTCATTGAATGGAGTACAATAGCAAGGGCAGGCCTTAACAGTTGATGGAACATTCAGCAGGAAGTAGTGAAAAGCCAAACTGTCAAGGAGGAAAATTCCATCCTAAATCTGCAGAACCTGCCAAAGCCCCACTGGGCACTCCGCTTACTTTAAGGTGAGGAACCTCAGGGGCTGACATCGGCTGCCAGCCCCTGGCAGTCATTCAGTTCCCCACACACACTCTGTGCGGTTGTAATTCCACAGAGCCATATACTTCAGCCTTTAGGAGCGCGGTGAGGGGGAGGGCTACTTACTGAAATAAAACCCCCTGTCTCCACACACGAACTGCAGGGCATCCACCAACTCAGCCCCGCAGAGCGTCTCGGGCCCCGCTGTGGCCGAGCTGGTGAAGGTGAGCAAGCACAGGGCCAGGTAGAAGAGGTGCGACGAGGACATGCTGTGCATCTTCACCTGCAGAAGAACAGAAGGAGGGTCATGTTTGCTCCTTGGTCCTTGAAGAGGAGTAAGGGTGGGACACGAGTGCATTATTCGCCACCCCCGCCAAAAGAAAAGGTGCCATCCAATTGATTCCAACTCATGATGAGCCCACGTGTTACACAGTACACACAGGGTGTTCTTAGTTGCAGTCTTGACAGAAGCAGATTGGCAGATCTCTCTTCCACAGAGTGTCTGGGTGAGTTCTAACCACCAACCCAGGTGGTTGTCAAGCCTAGCAGTCAAGCGCAAAATCGTTTGCACCATGCAGGGTGCAATTTCCTCCAGTATTCCATTATTAGAAGCTCTGATGGTGCAGCAGCTAAGGCATTCAACTGTTAAGCAAAATGTCAGTGATTCGAACCCACCAGCTGCCCCACAGGAGAAAGATGTGGCAGTCCACTTCCATAAAGAGTGACGGCCTTGGGGCAGTTCTACTCTGCCCTATAGAGTTGCTATGAGTTGGAATAGATTCGATGGCAGTGGGTTTTGGTTTATTCCATTACTGTCATTAATCAGAACTACCTCACACACAAGTACAATAAAGTACAGGAGAAGCCTCTGGGTGTCGTGGACTGAGCATGTCTTGGCATCAGACAACCAGTGTTTGAGTCCCCTTGCTGTCATGGAACCTTGGAGAAGTCCTCCCTGGACCACAGTTGTCTTTGGGGGAGAAATGGAGTCAGTATAATTTCTCTATAGGTTCCTATTACAATGAAATGAGAGCATTTCATTCAAGAACATTTATTACATAAATGATGAGTGTTATTATTATAATGAAGAGCCCAAAGCACGTTGAGAGGCTGGGGGAACTTTCTGAAACAGCAGATATTTAATTGTGTTTAGCATGGATTTGGGGCCGAATATGTTTTGTTAATTTAAATTCTTTAAAAATGGGGCACTCACAGAGGGCATATGATCCATTATTGACCCAAACCCATTGCTGTAGAGTCGATCCAGACTCATAGCAACACTGTAGGGCAAGTAGAACCGCCCCGTAAGCTTTCCAAGTCTGTAAATCTTTATGGAAGCAGACTGCTGCCCCATCTCTCTCTCATGGAGCTGAAGGGTTTGAATGGCTGATATTTTGGTTAGCAGCTGAGTGCTTTAACCACCATGCCACCAGAGCTCCTTCCATTATTGACTAGAACATTAAATTAAGCAGAATATTATTCCCCAGCTACTGATGAAAAAGATTTTATTATGGCCAAAAGAAAAGAAAACTTGAGAAATACTATAAATTTTTATAGCTTTTTCCCCCCACTCTGAGAGAGAGAGGAGAAAGAGGAGGAAGCGAGAAAAAAGAGAGGCAGGGGTGGGGTGCAGAGACTGATTTCTTACCTGGGGAATATCAGCAGTTAACTCAACCACAAGGAAGTTTGGAAGGAAAAACAAACTCAGAAATAGGGAAACCAGGTGGATTTAGGAGTGAAATTAACTCATCCCAGGAAGACTGCTACTCCTTCTGCATTCTAAGCCTCTTGTGTCAAGTCCAATATCAAATCAGCACACGTGTAGCAAGTGCCTTCTATGAATAGGTACTGAGCTCAAAACCTGCAAAAAGCCTTTTTTTTTTTTTGGTCACAGGAATTCTGACTTCATCTCCTGGAGGGACTTACATGTCACTGTATCCATGTTATAGCATAGTATCCCGAGCAACCCTGTGGGTGTGATTTAGCCCATAATGGACAGCCAATTGTGGCCCTGTCAGAAGAAGCCAGATCCCCGTGGCTCATCCCCATCCTCACTCTCAGAAGTAGAAAGGGTGCTAAGGTGATCATTAAGTTTTTCTGTATCGCTACTTGTGGCACAAAGAGGTGGCTTCTTCAAGGAAGCCATCTGAGGTAAGTAGCCTTGCCTCTCTTGGATGTGTCTACTTCCAGCAACTTTGGAAGAGCCACTGGCAGGATGGTAGGCAAGGGACCCAATTAGAAGGGTCGTGGAGTTAGGCTGGAAGCTGTAGTTATAAAAAGGAGCTCTAGTGCCATAGTGGTTAAGGCATTTGGCTGTTAACCAAAAGGTCAGTGGTTCAAACCCCCATGAGCTTCTCTGTAAAGATTTATAGTCTTGGAAATCCTACACAGTCCCATAGGGTTGTTGAGTCATAATTGACTCGGTGGCAGTGGATTTTGAATAGTGACAGGTGCATCCAACCCTGAAGAAGGTGATTCAGAAATTTATTTTCTGACTACCCGCCTAGCATTCTGTGAACTCTCAACCCAATGGCTGTACATCAGTGGCAAAGCTTGCTTGACCATTTTATTGAAGATTTCTTTCCATTTTTGTAGCCAGACCTTCAGCCCAGCAAGTGTGTGTGTGTGTGGGGGGGAATCCAAACCCTTGACTCTCGTTAACACAACATAAATATTTAGTTAATGCTTGTAAAACAGTTGAAGATGAAAAGCACCCTCTGTGCAAATTATCATGAATAATGGACATGAAAGAAAAGAGGTGAGAGAGCTTGACTGAATATTTTTTCCATTTTCTCAATAGACTTCTATGTGGAAACTCTCTACCCTCCACCTAGCCTAGAAACAGTTATCAGCCAGCCCTCATTTTTTTTTTTTTCCATTGTAAAAGAAGTAATGGGTTTTCTCTCTTCAATATTTCCCATGAAAACCTCAACAGATGGGCTTCATTGCACTTCCCAAAAGAGCAAACCCACAATTGATCTTGTAGGACATACCCCCACATTCTGGCAAAGGGCCAGTTCTAGAATGTACGTTCTTCTCCCCGTCCTTTTTCTCCACCCCTCCCTTCTCTGTTGAGCTTATAGTAATGCTGAATGCCAATGCCTGCACTTACAGATGCCTTCAAGTTCTTCAGTGGTCATGAAATCCAGGAGGGGAAATCACTCAACTCATAGCTTTCATGACCTGAGAACTTCATTAGATGTCAAAGCTGTATTTTTAATAGTTATTTCTGTTATAGCAATTTAAGCTCAACAACATATATAAACCTCCAGCCTTTAAGAACTTAAGTTCTTTTTTCACAATCTTTTGTTGCTGTTGAGTTATGTTTGCAGGTAAATACTAGCTCTTTCGTTCTCGCACCAGATAGAACCTCTAGTACACTCTCCTTTAGTTCAGGGAACAGTCCAGTACACCCCACAGAGAACCAGACACTTTATCACGCTATGTTCCCCAAAGGGAAAACAATAATGAACTTGCTTAGGAGTTGAAAAGTTTGAAACAATTGGACCCGTATGTTCATCATTTCCTTGCCTTTTTATTTCGCGAAACACAAAAGAAACGAAGACAGGGAAAGGGAAAGATAGGATAGGAAAGAAGGAAGGAAAAAGCAGAAAAAGAAAAGAAAAAAGCAATCCGGAGTACTCTTCCTCAAACATCATTCACAGATTCAAATCTTAGAAGAGCCTTCTTTTTATCTTAAATAAACAGAGTATCAATTGACTCCAGATGTCTGGGCTACAATGAAAATGCCCAGGAATATTTGAGGACGATAGTCATAAGAAAATACTCACTGTAGGTGTACCCATTTTTGTTTGTTCCAGGTCTTTTACAGCAGGTCAGGGTGGGTATTATGAGTGTGATGTGACTAGAAAACTGAGCACTTTAAAAACATGTGCTGCTCTGTGGGTGTGGTTTGTGAAAGCATCTAGTTACATTTGGACACCCAGGCAGGTATGCTGTGAGCCTCGGTAAACTGCCGTTTGTCCATTCAAACAATGAACACATTGCACAGCTGGGATCTGAGTCAATCTTTTCCCCCTAATCAAGCCACTGATTTCCATTATGTGTCTATTAGAGCTGCCCAGAGAGTGATCCAAGCTCCAGTCCTCTGTCTTGTCCTCTTGCCTCTGAGTGCCCCATGCATTAGGAAATACCTTGAGAGTCAGTGTACAATCAGCCTGTGAGTCCTGCTGCCTCTAGGCAGGGCACCTTGACTCACTGAAATTACATTTGAAAGACCACGCAGCTCCCCCAAGCCACTTCCTGCTTCAAGCACAGGGAAAAGTAACACATTGCTTGCTAGCCCCACTTCTGAGAAGTTTAGCATGCCCAGAATGAAAAGTTCATTTGGACACAACCTCTCAAATGTAATGAATGCAGAGACAACTCGCTCCAGCCTCTTTCAAGATCCTCTAAATAGGAAGAAAAATACCCCAGCTGCCGGACAACATAGTGTAGCTGTATATTGACTTCATTTCATTCAAAGCAAGGTGGCAAACACGTCTTGGAATCTCAAGGACAGACGCAGGTACCTAACCAGGGAGTATCCTTAACTCCCAAGCCACTTCCTTGACCAAGCAAAGTCCTAGCGGTGGAGTATTTGAAAGCAGTGGATGAATGCTGCATTAAGCGGCAGGGACGTTTTATGAATCGAGCCTGCAGGCAATTGCAGCAGCAGAGCCAGTGACAGTTGCTTAAAAGTGCTTGCAAATTGAAAAAACACACGTCTTGAAGGATATAATTTTGCTGAGAATGGAAACTTGAACTAGGGCCAGTGATTGGAAACCAGAAGCTAGTGCATCCACAACGGCAGCCAAATTTACCTACAGAGACTTTACAACAGCGAGCATAAACATCAGAGTTTTACGACACGCAATCCCAAGGCAAAACTCTGCCCACGAAAGTCCTCTTCAAAAGAGTCAAGTTGGACAGGCAGCTGCTCAAAAGTTTCTGCTTTGCGTCTACTGTGTACATTTGTATAAATCATACGACTATGCGAGGTCAGCAAGAGTTGTCAAGGAGTTCTTTTTCTTTTCGGAAGAGCACATTAAACTTCACTCTAACTTTGACTCTCTGGGCAAAAGTGCAGAGAGTTCCGGGACCTTAGCTCCAAAGATCATATTTAAAAGCTTCCACATCATCTCAAATGTAACTCTTCCTTTCTGACATGCCTTGTAAATAAGGTCCTGACAAGTTACACACAGGCGCACACACACACACACACACACAGTCTTAAAAATAAAACATCTGCACCTGCAAAAAAAAAAAAAAAAAAGAAAGAAACAAAAAAATCCCAAAGTTCATATCCATGTTCTGTAGCCCTTAGCCATAGACGAGATTTACAGGAATCTTTTGTAATGACAGCACCGAAGCCGTGCAAAAGTGGAGGATTTAGCCTAAGTACCTTGCAACAGTTTCTACTCATATAGATAGCTGTGCAAATGCATCCGTCTCCCGGAGCTATTTTTTTCAAATCCCACAGAATTGCATATTCAGCAATTTATAAATAACTCCCAGTTCCGTAACAATGAGATTCTAAAGTGAGTAACATTTCTAAGGCAGCAGCAAACAGTACACAATCTAAAGAAAATTCCCCAATGACTTCAAAGAGTAAGAATATATTTACCTTCAAGACATCACAAAAGCAGCACTTAAATAATTGGGTTGGAAGACTGCTGATTTTCCCCATGGCTTCTGAAGTGCAAAGTCTGGAAATGAATTGGTTAGCAGGAATAATGAGGCAAAACAGAAATCCAGAGAGATGGGAGATGTTGAGAGCAATGTCACATTTCAATTTTGAGGACTTTATTCCATTGCGCAGGCTCTATCTGCTCTGAATTTAGCAGTGACAGTGAGATTTAGCAAACAGAAGAGGGATTTAGAGAAAATCCTCACATTTATCTACAAAACACAGACACTGTAGACAGGAAACAGCTGGGGGAACATTTGCCTTCTCTCTCCCTCTTCTGGCAAAGTTATCGAGTAAGGACTTTTTTGGGCATGGTGACAAATAACATCATACCTTTGCATTTTAAAACTAGAGCACAGAAGCTTTTTTTTTTTTTTTTTTTCTCCTTAAAAGAATGTGTGTTAGTGACAGGGTTAGCAGATATTCAAGTACTTATTCTGCCACAGAAAATAGGTATCTGTTCTCTGATTAACTTTCTACTGCGCATGAAGACACATCTGTGAATACACACCTTCGTGGTATACACATGGGGGAGGGGTGGGAAATTTTATATTCTAGAGCCAATGCACAATTTTAAAAGGAGGAAAAGACCCCCGCAAGCACACCCTACAGTTTTAACCCTGAAATGACTGGAGTTGACTAGATTGCAACACAGAGCTGGGGTCGTCCCTTGTCTCAGCTGCCAAGTCAGAGGGATGATCTCATTCCTTAGATCCTACAACAGGGGCGGCAGCAGCGAAATGGGCTCCCTTTAGAATATTGGCTCATGCTTTTTGCCCGCGACGAGGTTAAGGCTTTGCTGAGCTGTAAGGCCAACTGAAAAAAAGAAAATGTAATATTTTTCTTCCTTCTTCTACTCGTCATTGTGTCATCTCCCAGGGGAAGGGCACCTGAGGGGCAAAATGTTTGTCCATTTTTCTGCAAAACTCGAACCTGTTCGTGTGTGTTTTCTCGCTCCAATTTTTGTGTATTCTAAATAACCACCAGCTGGCTAGCAATACCCTCTCAAGGGTTATGATGTCATCCAAATCCCTCAACTGGGTGAGTGGCCTGCAGCGTGGTCCAAGCCAGCTGTCTTGCTATTTATAATGTATACTTGGCTTTGCCATTGAGAATCGCATTCTGATCTTCTGTCGACACAATTTGTACCAATCTCTCTTCAGTTTTGTGAAGTAGTAGATAAGAAAGTGGATTAGGAAATAAGGTTGCAAAAGCCCAGATCTGACATAACACTTTCCCTAGATCTCCCACTAGGCATGGTTTCCCGGGGAGGGTGGGAATAACCTAGAGCTGGCATTCCTGCCTCCTGTGTCCCAGGGGACTCAAGGAAACTGCAGCACCTGAAAAGAGATTTCTGCAGGAGTTCCGAGTCTGGTTCTTTATATTGTCCCATGGTCAGAAATCTGTTTGCAGAAGTGGGTGCCCTCCAAGGAAAACCTAGTTGGTTTCAAAAAGGGGTTGGGGACTGGGTTTGGTCAAGTATTTTGTGCAGTTAATAACTTGTAGCAATGTTTACTTTCCAGAAATAAAAGTTAGGAATCTAGGATCATATAATTTCAACCACTCACTGTATCCAGTATCCTTTAGTCAGTATCTACTATGTGCTGAACTACATGCATCCCTAGAGAAACAAAGAGGAATCGGATACCGTCAAAACCCAGTGGGAGTTCTCAGCTGAGGCACAGAGGCAGAGAGGAAGATGCTACTGTCACGTGCTCTTTCAAAAAGATGAACATTGCAGGGTGGGGAGGGGTGGGGTGGGCAGTTACAAATTCTCTGGAAAAGACAAGAAAGTGAAACTTTTTTGGTCAATCCAGGACAGGGAAGGGGTCGCGTCATGAGGGGCTTTGTGGTACAAGGTTGGGAAGTTTCACATAGGCCCCATCGAGAGGTGGCCCTTCAGGCTTCTGTACGTGAGTGATCCCTGTACAGAGAACAATCCGAGGCTTTTACCAAGCTCTCCCCTCCTGCATGGCTTATGATTTGATTTACCAAAGACCCCCACCACCACCTTTTTTTTTTTTTAATGCAGCTTTTTTAGATCAAGCATTTTATGAAAAACAAAGTCCTCCTCACTTGGGCATTGGTGACGTAGGTGATATGGAGCCAAAGAGCTGCTCACCTATTTCACAGGTGAGAAAAAACAAACAACATGATTTCCAACTGCCAGGACAGTCAGGTACTTGGCACTGAGTGCCTTTTTCCACCACCAGGCCTGCTCACAGGTGAAGGCTATGACTTTGCTCCACCCCTTCCCCATTGCTGTTTTAGCGGATCTTAATCCTTCCACGATATCCTAAAAGTTCATTACTTTTCTCGAAGTCTGCAACCCAGCCTGATGCACTCCTGTGGCTGGGACACTGCACAAACCCCCTTATCCCCAACCAGTTTACATGATGGGCTATTCTGGGAGCCAGAACACACTCCATTCCACCAGACACTGTTCTCCTACAATTTCGACACACTGACTCACAGTCTCTTGGTTTTATAACCCTAATTACCCTTATGTGATAATTGGGTTTTAATTTATGTCCTAGTTTTTATGTTATAATCAATAAAACTGAAATGTCAGGGAGTCGTAATCATCATCAGGTGTGCTGTGGCGACATTCTGAGGTGAGCTATCAGTTTCCAACACTGAAAGCAATTTCCTGAAGAGACTATTGTATACTTCCATTTGGAGAATAGTGTACATTTCTGGGTAGGGTGAGCCAGCAACAAAGCAGGGCAATAATTTCTAGAGAAATGGCCATTTTTTTGCTAATTCCAAGAGTCAACATGCAAACGAAAGGGCAATAAACGTACCATATCCTCTTAACGACCAGGTGTCAGACCTGTTTAGGAGAAAAATAAACAAATGCACCTATTAACTAGAGGTTCCAGAGGGTGGTAATAAATCTAAACCCCAAGAGAAGGGCCACGCCATGAAGTCCCATTGAAGAGAGATATACAGGGTCATTCTAAAATCACTGAATGCTTATGTAGTCTCCTGCCTGGAAAAAGCTGAGAGTTAGATATGGGGATCGTGTGGCCCCAAAATAGCTAACTGCAAGGAGGTGCTCATCATGAGAACATCCGCTCCTGGGAATTCAGAGATTCGCAGTCTCACCTTTTGCATGTGTAATGCCTGTTGGATATAAATAACTCTTCCCTACAGCCTTCTTCTTGAGTCATGTATTTGCATAAAGCCTCAGCCTCCAAAGACTTCTAACACCTCTCTTAAAAAAAAAAAAATGTTCCTTCCTTCCTGAAAGGGTAGGCTGAGGGTCAGAGAAAGGGCTCAGTGGCCCCTCTTTTTGCTCCAAGCCAATTCTTAGTCTTTTCTGTGTTAGCTGGAGAAATGCTCATCCAAAAGGTGATTTCGTATCTGTGTATATAATAAGGCATGTTGTTGTTGTTGTTACGTGCCGTGGAGTCAGACCCAACTCATAGCGACCCTTCTTTGGGTTTCTGGGGCGATATCACTATGGAAGTAGATTGCCCAAACTTCCTTTCCAGGAGTGGCTGGTGGGTTTGAATTGCCAGCCTTCTGGTTAGTGGTCAAGTGCCTTAGGCACTACACTACCAGAGCTCCCATAATAAGGCATATTTACCATTTATTTCATTAATGTCTTTTCTGACTGCCAAGAAAAGCCCAGTAAGGATACTTTGAGGTAAGGGGACTTTGGAATCCAACAAAAGGTGAGACCTTGGGTTCTGGGCAACCCACCAGGCAAAGGACTTGGGGACACGGTTAGAGGTTTCTCTTGGATCATTGTTTGGGGGAGGGTTGGTCTGAGAGCATACCCGGCAAAGTTGAGATTGAAGACTCATTAGTTCAGTACTTAAAACTCAGAGGAAAAGGCTGGATCTCAAAACATGAAATGCTGCAGAGAAAGAAAGCGGAGTCAGGTCCAAAAGATCTTCTCAGAAGGATGCTGTTAACTCCTGAGAAAGGTCTTCTTAACTAGAAGGAGCTGCTCAAAATCCTGAAAAGAGCATTTCCCCCACAGTTAGGGAAAACAGTAACAGGAAAGAGAGATCCCTTCACTAAAGAAATCAATGTTTGCTTTCAACATTGGATCTTACGTTTTCAAAACTGTCAAAAGGGCAAATGCTAGAAAGAAAACAAAACGGTTGAGGTTCTGGGAGCAAAAGAATTCTTCGCTACTGCTGATGAGGAGCCATTGAGTGCAGTGAGGATGGGCTGAGGGATTGAAAGAGCCGCAGGGCTTACCACCCTTGTCCTAAATTGAGTAGAAAGTGGGGAAAGGAGGCAATCAATTCCAAACTTCAGGGGTAGAGCCCACAAACACATTTTCTTGTGGAATAGAAAAATGTGCGCGCCCTCTAGTGGGCTTCTTGGAAACTGCCACTGTAGTCTCAAAGGCTGATGTGTGGAGGCTGGGGGGGTGGTGTCGAAAATCTCTCAACTGAAATATATACTTTAAGGTACACTACCTTTAGTTTTATGCAGCATTTTGAAAGAAATAAACTAGAGATTTGATTCATTGTAATTTAAAAAGGGGGAAAAGAGAGAAGGGAGGAAAGATTTTAAGTTTCATGAGGACAAGGATGTCTTGTTGAGAGTTATATCTATCCTCAATGCTTAAATCCTGGTATGGGCTCAAATGTTTTGTGAATGAACTCAAGTCTGGAAAATAAATGATAGACACAAAATGTTTCATATAAAAAATATTGCAGACTCTCTGGGTGTGGAGTGACCAATATCCTCATTTTACAGATGAGAGTAATGATATTGGGGATGGTAGAGATATGACTTGTTCAACAGTACAAATTTAAACCCCAAAGCCAATCTCATTATCGCCAACTAGGTTCCAACTCACAGTGATACTATAGGACAGAGAACTTCCCCATAAGGGGTTCCAAGGCTGTAAATCTTTATGGAAACAGAGGCCACATCTTTGCCCTGTGCAGCAGCTGGTGGATTCAAACCACCAACCTTTTAGTTAGCAGCTGATCACTTAACCACTGTGCCACCAGGGTTCCATGAAACAAATTTAACTGATGCCAAATGGGATGCAAGTGCAGTCTTCCTGACTATGTCGCCCTCTTCCTACCTCGTCAGTGTACACAGTGTGAACTGTAACACTTGTGGTCAGAGACATGGCCATCCTGAGTCATCACATAGGACAGAGGTGGTTCCATTTTCAACTCTCCTCGGTTTACCAAGAGAAAGTCTCA